GATAGATAGATAGATAGATAGATAGATAGATAGATAGATAGATAGATAGATAGATAGATAGATAGATAGATAGATAGATAGAAAATAGACAACAGACAGACATATATCAGATTTATTTAATATATTTCAAATGTTCAATTTGGTGCTGATTTTGCTATTATATTTATAACAGATTATGGATCAAAGAGATTTTTTTCAGTCTCCTTCATCTGAAGCTTTATTTCACATGACATTGAATATCTGTTCATTCTCTTAAAAGTTATCATCTGCCATCTAAATCCCAATATATATATATCAAAGCAACAAAATGGAAATAGTAACACATTAATCTCTACTGCTTGTCTTTATGATTAAAGAAAGACAAGCAGTAGAGATTAATACAAGTTCATAAATCAGTATTTCATGGTTTTGTAGTTCAAAGCATAAATCCAAGAAAGGGAGTCTAAAATCTACTATCTTTCCTCTGCCTTAATTTGTTTGTGACCGTGTAACTTGTATAGAATGCTATATCTTTGCTGGTGACCTCCTTAAAATGAGTGAGTATTTATTTATTATTTAAAATTGCAGGGTTACTTCATATTTAGGTGACAAATACAGGGTTAAAAACAAATGAAATATGATGGAAATCATTAAAATACATTGCATTGGAGACAAGTCATAATAAATATATTAAAAGTCTGAGGGAAGCCTGGGGGGAAAACAAGTCTTCAAGGCCTTTTTAAATCATCATTAATTCTGTTGCATTCATCAGATGAGCACAAACAATTAGAGATGGACAGTCCCACAAATATTGGCGACCTGTGCCATGTAGTATAGACACTTCTATAAAAAGGGCAGGAAGCAGCAGAAGAGCATGGCAAAGAAGAGACAGATATTCTTTGAAGTGAGGACTTTAAATCATAAGGATTTAAAGGAGGATTTAATACATAAGCATTTTTTAAAAAGTTCTCATCTGTCAAGTTCTGTGAAGCTGACATGCTCACAAAATAAGAACCTCTTAGATGTCTGGAAAGATCAGTACAGGTTGTCCTTGACCTGCTATAGTTCATTTAGTGACCATTCAAAGTTACAATGGCATTTAAAAAAGTGACTTATGACTGTTTTCACACTTAGGACCATTGTAGCATCCTGTGATCATGTGATCAAAATTCAGATGCTTGGCAACTGGCTCCTATTTATGATGGTTGCAATGTCCCGGAATTATTTGATCACCTTTGTGACTTTCTGACAAGCAAAGTCGATGGGGAAGCCGGATTCACTTAACAACTGCCTTACTAACTTAACAACTGCAGTGATCCACTTGATGACTGTGTCAAGAAAAATTGTAAAATGAAGCAAAACTCACTTAACAATAGAAACTCGCTTAGCAATAGAAATTTTGGGCTTAGTTGTGGTCATAAGTCGAGACTACCTATATTGACAATAGGCAGTGGTGGGATTCAAATTTTTTTACTACCGGTTCTGTGGGCGTGGCTTGATGGGCGTGGCTGGGGAAAGATACTGTAAAATCTCCAGTCAGAGGTAGAATTTGCTGGGTCTCAAAATTTCCACTACTGGTTCTCCAAAACTGGTCAGAACCTGCTGAATACCACCTCTGGTAATAGGGTAATACAACAGAATGTTAAGTAGAAGGATAAAGCAACAGATAGACCATCAAAGTAATGATCCCACATTACTTCCACTTTGTGTAACTAGGCCAAATATCTTTCTTATGCTTCTCCTGGACTATATTTTCTGTTTCCTTCCTTAATTATCTTGCTGCCTTCCCTGCATCCCCAAGCTTTGTTAGGCATTCTCTCAGAATCTTGGGAT